GCAAAGTTTACTTTAGTTAAATTTACAGCCTACAAGAAATTCCCGTTCAGCAAGGGCTTGCTTTCTCTGAAAGGCCTTGGAGTAACTCATTTTTGACCTACAGTGCCCGCTCTCACGTTCTCTCCGCTGCTTTTGCCAGCACGGTTGTGATGCTGGCTGCATCTCACATGTTTTTGTTTTGTAAAATTCCTTATTAAGACACTGCTCTGGCTTTCGTTGCTTTGCAGCCATCCACTTTTCCAGAGCCTGTGCAGGGAGGCCTGATCCTGGGCAGAGGGTTGGAGGGTTCAATCCTTCTAGTAAGAATTGAACTGAGGGTTCAATCCTTCTTGTAAGAATTGAACTGCTGGATTTTTTTCTGCACTGGGTATTTTCAGTGTAGAGGGGAAAGAGCTCCTTCATAAAGAATGAGGAAATGTCCAAGAGCATCTCTTATCTCCTCATTGATCCTCTGTATGCACACAATGGAGCATATTTTCAACAGGGAAGTATTTAAGTAATGTTTTAAAAGAGTTACTTCTCATCTGCAAGAACCATGTTTATGGAGAGTATTAATATTAAAACTTAGTGTCTTCTGGAGATTTTAATGTCTTTTATCATAAAGTAATCAATCATTTAATGGTATTGCATTAGCCGAACAGCAGTCAGGAAATATTTTTAGTGTCTTAGAAATTAATCTGCAAAGTCAGATCTGTATTAGCTTTGCTTTACTCTTCAGACCAGTGCTTGTTTTTGTCTGCTAATTGTTCTGACGTGTCTTAATCAAGAGCAACAGCATGAGCTTCTCTCATGGGGCACGCACTTCATTTACAACAAGAGCGATTTTGTATTTTTTTGCTGTGTGGACAAATCATTACATGCACTGTAAGGAAACAAGTACCTCAGCAATTTTAACTAGTACAGAATGAATAAATACTAAATAGTAGGGTGAATAACTTCACTGATATTAGGAAGTTTGTTTAATAAAAGACAGTATTGTTAAAGAAGCAAACGTTAGCCTAAGCCAGCTAGTAATAAAATGTGGGTAAAAAATCCCACTTCTACGGAGGACACTTGGGATTACAGAGAAAAAAATGAAATCCAAACATTTGTCTTGTATTTGATTTAAAGGCAGCAAGAAGGCCACTTTTTACACCCACCCACCCACTACTTTTTATAGTAGTGTAATTTTATGAATTATAGTACGAATGGGAAGTATTTCCTTTATGATATAGCAAGTGCTAATGTGTTTTTATTTACCTCAATTCTGTAATTCTGTGGAATCTTTTTGGCATTTTTGAGTATAGAATTTTAATGGGTTCTGCTGGATTTAGGTTGTTCCTTTATTTACTGAACATGGACAAATTTTATGAATTTCTCTTGAAATTATTGCCCTCCGGTTTACAACATTGAATGCAATAGACAATGTTGGATGTAATATGTAGGAAAGAACAAAAAGATGTGTCTTGTCATAGTTAATACCAGGCGATGATACATTAAGGCCACTAAACATTTTCAGGTCCATAAATTATAAGGTACTAACTCCAGTGAAATGAGCTTAAAAGTTCAGCTTGATCAGTAGTTCAGCTACTTGTGTAATAGAAAGCAAAAACGTGGCCAGGTCCCAAGCCGAACTAATGTGGTGTTTGAAGCGGTGCCCTCAGAGGGGCCTGTTGGCGCTGGCGGAGAAGGCGGCCTGGGGGGTGGCTCCGTCGGGTGCTGCTCCCGAGCAGGAGGAGGGTCGGCTGCGGGATACAGCTGTGTGGGTTCCTGCCAGGAGCCTGCACGGCGGTTTTGACCGCTTCATGGCCGAGCCCACAGGCAGGCTTCAGTAGTAAATGGTGCTTGGCTAGAACAGGAGCTTGTGGAGGTGGCATTTTCCGGTTTTGTATCGAGGGGTGGAATAGCTCTACTGCGCGTGGCAGCAGTTGCCCTGGCCCTCGCCCGTAAGGAAGGAGAGATCTTTGTGCACAGAGTTTGGAAGGGCAGGCCCGGGTGTTTCCAGGACTTCAGAAACTAAATCCTTCTGTGGAGTTCTGTTTGCCGAATTTTAGGCAGCTTTAAACAGATCTCTCTCAGGGAAACTCCAAACTTGATTTTGGTGTTAGACTATAAATGCATTACAATATTGTAACTGTCTAATTCCATCTGTGTCTCGTCCATGAAGTTGCGTTTTGGGAAGATTTGTCTCCTTGGTGCTTTCCTCCGGAAGCTTTTGTGACAGCTCATGGCCATGCAGGCTTGAGGGGAGAGCTAAGCCAGGAGAGCTGGAGGCAGCTCCTGCTCGCTGAGTCGTCCTTTTTAGTGAGTGCAGCAGAGAGGGCCACGTTATAGGAGACAAAAAAGACACTGAAAGAAAAGAGGAACCAGTCACTTACAATGTCAGAGCATCCTCTTCCCTTGAAGTTATGCTGTAGACAGGCTTCCAAAGGGAAAATAAAGAATGGTCAAGCTGTTTTTTTTTTTTTTCTCATTTACCTTCCTGAACAGTAGTCTTGGAATGAGGCAGAAAATTCTTTGGGTTTTCTAGTTTTGTTTTGGATTTTTTTTTATATACACATTCAGCTTTGGTATCAGCTATGTTGTCGCCACTACACTGTCACCACTGTCTGTGGTTTTTGATTTCCTCTGTTGCTGGCTTTTGAGTACTGTTGTAAGTCCTTACAAGTGTAAGAGGTGAATTCTATGGAAGCATATTTTTAAAAAATACATGAAGAGCTACAACCAGAGGTAAAGATGGTGTATTGAATGATTTGAAAGAGCTTTCTTTGAGCAGTAGCTTAACAGATTTCGTTGACATGGATGTTTCAACCAGCATGAGGTCAAAATCAAGTTTTTTTAATTGTAGGAAATGAGGGAATTCCCTTAAATTTGAAATGTTACACCCATCTAGGAAACACAGTGGCTATAGACTTGCTGAGGCAGGCCTACTCAGTAATCAAGTTGTAATTAAGCATATATCATATGAAAAAAATGGCCCTTTCTTTTAGCAAACAAATATATTTGACAATTTTCATGTTTGTAGTGAATGAGCAGTTTGTTACTCTAGTGGATTGACTTTGTTCCTCAAAAAAAGAAAACAAATTTCAAGCACAAATTTCATTTTCTTCATTTTAAAACCCTGCAATTCATTTTAAAAAATCTGCCAGCCATTAAATGTAATCTTGCAAAATGAAGTAAAAGACATAGAAGAACTCCTTCCTCTTCACTTGGTCAAAACACATGCTGAAGGCAGTGGGCAAGATCATATGACCAGTACACAAAATATGTTGAACAGGTAGGAAACACTACAGTACTAAAATATTCCACAAAACTCTACAAGAAGCCATCCCTTCTGGGCAGTGTGCTTCAAGAATGGTCATCCCAAACAAGAAGTTAAAATATGGTTTGATCCTTTAAAAGAAAATTATCTTGGAGGATATCTAGTCACTTTGCAACAAATCTGAAACTGCTACTAAACTAGTGCAAGTCATTCAACCCAGAAGAATAGGCCCAGTTAACATGATGAAAAGCATGGATTCAGAAACAAATGTATTTGTTTTGTGACATGTTATAATTTTCCTATGTCTCCCCCTCATCTAATTCTTTGTGTTCTGCAAACACAAATTACCTGCTTCTCTTGCTGTCCTTAAACAGCTGGTGCCTGTGTCTCCCCTTCCCTTGCTAACCTTGCTTTCTGTCCTGCAGTTACACAGCACTTCTCTCGCATCATGCAATAACTGGGGCAATCTCAAGCTAAACTCAGAGCGATTGGTTTGAACCTGTACTTGATTTGTACGTTCCTGCTGCCTTTCAGTCTGGAAGGGTTTGTGGTCAGACCAGAGCTCCCTGATGTTTTATTTGAGTGTAGCTCTGCCAAATGATCCTTATTTTGACTGCTGTCAATATGAATGAAATTTTCTTACTAATGTGTCCAAAATCTATGGAAGCCTTTAGGGACAGCCTTCTTGGAAGAGGCAAGGTAATCAGTGCTTCACACTGATGCAAAATACAGGAATTAAAATTTCCATGCAGTTCCACACATTTCTGTAGAGTGGTTATCATATTTCTGTTTAAACAACTTTATATAATGTTTGTTCATTTTTTTTTCTCTGTAAAAGAGAAAGAGGAGTTATGGGGAGCTGCATTTGTTTTGTTTTATTTGAAATAACGAGCATGATATATATGTAAATGAAATTAGGTAAAATCATTACCTTTAATTCTGCGTGTACATTCATTACTGTCAAATATAGACAGAGTTAACTAAACTAAGTTAGTATATTCGGGTTGTATGAAAACAGATTTTTGGTTGATTGAAATTACTGAAGGTCTGAATAATCTCTGATTGAAGCCCATATTCTGTTTAAAATGTAGTAGAAAATAGCAAAATTAGTGTAATTAGATTAATGCAGCCAATATTAAGTGTACTGCTTTAGAATTAAAATAAAGGTGTCAACCTGGCTTGTTCTAAAAATAAACAAGGGTGTATATTCTGTTCTCCTAAAAAGTTGATCTCTAATATGCAGATAATCTTTAATGGTATGCATAGGTGGTACACATGTAGATCTTCAGGTCTAGCTTAGGTTTAATGGATGCAAAATGAAACTCTATTAGTGGTGAATGAACACTTAAATAGAGATTGTATGCATATCACAATTTTAATATACTTCCTTTTTTCATACCTGTGGATTTTTACCAGCAGTACGTTCTTAATGAGTTGAATTATTTGTTTTAAATATTGAATTTATAAACCAAATTAGTCATTCAAGATTACCTTCTGCATTTAAAATAACAAAAAGTTAAAAAAAATAGCTATATTTACAATTTTCTTTCAGTCTTTAACAACCTTTGATATGATTACTTAAATAAAAAAGCATGTGTTTTAAATTGTGAAATTTGAGTGGACAGGATAAATTTGTCCTTAAAAAGCCTTTTCAATATCTACATTATCACAGGACAAGGACAGGCTCAAGGTAGCTCTTTTGTTAACCTGACAGTCTTTCGGGAGCAGCTAGTTGAGTGATTTTGGTCTCTTTCCACAGGTTTTCAATACATACTCCAATGAAGACTATGACAGGAGAAACGATGAAGTCGACCCAGTGGCTGCATCAGCTGAATATGAACTTGAAAAGCGTGTGGAAAAGTTGGAGCTTTTCCCAGCTGAGCTAGAAAAAGGTATGTATTCAATCCTATAAAACTGATCTACAAATCTTTTAAGAAAAAGTCCACTTACCTCCAGAATGTATTATGAATTCCCATGAGTCCATTGTGTTTACCTTGACTTTTTGTATTCCAGTAATTGTTCCATAAGGAATTAGGAAAGCAATTCAAAGATGTACAGTTTGGTTTTCTTTTTTTTTTAAGGGAAATGTTTTGTGTTACTCCATTCACGCATGGAGTATCACAGTGTTTCCTGTGATATTTTTGTTCTCCACTGGAAGGGTATCAATCTTGCTCAGCTGTTCTAGGCTCCTTGTAATATTTGAGATGATATTATTTTTTTGTTCGTAAATTATGAAGGGATTATTAAGGGTTTTAAACAGAAAGAAAAAGAATTAAGTTTATTGACCTTGGAAAATAAGGTCAGAGAACCAAGAGAACCAGAACCAACATGTTTATGTAAAAATGATTGTATGAATTAAATGTAAATTTCTGCTTTTGTTTGCCTTTTTCACAGATGAAGATGGACTTGGCATAAGCATTATTGGAATGGGAGTTGGAGCAGATGCAGGCCTTGAAAAACTGGGAATATTTGTCAAAACAGTAACAGAAGGTGGGGCAGCAGAAAGGGATGGCAGGTAAACTAGACTCAAAGTTTGTCAACTTTCCCAACAATAATTATTATGAATTATGATTTTTTCAGAGTTCTTAGCTTCATGTATGTCATGATAACTCAAAGCTGTAAAATTCTGAGACTGAAATGTTATGCTCCTAATATCTGATATGCTTATGGAAAGACACTAATTTTGTGAACTTATTTGAAACCGTTCAGGGAATCCAGATTTGCCAATGATTTCTGCTTCAGTTCCTAAAAATCAAGATGCTTTGAAGTGACTATTTGGAGACAACAAGTTCTGAATCCTTTTGGAAGTACTTGTTGTGAAGATGTCATGAGTCTATCCATTACTTCAAATCGAAGCAAAAGTTTTTCTGAAAGCTGTGCTTGAGCTCAGGCCTTGAGCACGCTACTGGAATTCTCTGTGAAATTCCCTGGAAGAAAATCAGAGTAGCTTACAACTGTTGTATTTGACAGGCCACGTTCTGATGATCTGTATTTGCTGTTCCTCTCATTATTCACATATTTGAGAGGGCTACAGAGTACAGAACACTAGTTTTGTCTTTCATTTCCCTAGAGCTTGTCAGCCAGAGAAAAAATACATTTCTTTAACCATTCTGATTTTGTATTGGTTTTCAACTGGCTGAAATGTTCAGTCAGCTGAGAAATAGCTCTCTGATTTTCTCTTTGGGAGCCTGACTGATCATTGACTTGAGGAAGTGATAAGTAATACTCTCAGGCAGCAGTGGCTGATTCTCTAATAAAGTGCATCAACTGTAAAAGGTCCTGTTAACTAAACCTAGTTAATCATTAACAGTGATACCAAAACCAAAGTCTTGTTACAGAAAATAAAACTATGTTTCAGCAATTGCATCAGATATTCTGAATAACTACATAGGAGTCTTCAGGTAGGATCTCTAAAGCTACAATTTCAAACATCACAATATTTGTAGAAAAACTCCAATTTTCTGTGGCAAGACCTATCAAATCATGATACAATGTACTTCCTTCGTGTGGAAACTCAAAATCTGTACAAAGGGGCTTCTCAGTGACTCAGCAGTATATTCTTGATTCATGTTGGTGCAGACAAATAGGTACTGGTCAGTTGTCATGTCAAAGGCGCTGTATAGCAATATTTAACCAAGGAGGGATGCTTTGAGACAAGTCCAAATTCAAGCAAGTTGATAAGTAATAAGAAACAGTGTAAATAGTGTGTAGAATATAAAATCAATCATGAGACTGAATATGAAAAATAAAATCTTTTCTTGGGCAAATGGATAGCTTTTTCAAATGATTAGCCAAAACAGATGCTACTGGAGATGAGTCATTTCAAAGTATTTTGATAGCAATTTGTCTGAGAACAACTGTTTTGAAACATTACACAGTTCTCAACTTTAAAAATATTGTAAACTTTGTCTCTGCACAAGTTATATTTTCCAGTCCACCATGCAGAACAATAATTATGTAAGTAAGTAATTTGTTCAACTTTATTTGGTTTGCTTGTTTAGCTGCTACTTGATAGAATTGCTCTTTCACATAGGCAGAGGTTTAAATTATGGCTTTTAGAAAAGAATTATCAGAACTACCAGTTTTGTTCATGATAAAAGCAGTTAATCCAGTATAACTAAGATTTATCAACCTCAGTTGAGTTTTTTTCATGTTTGAAATTATTTTGCTCTAGATATTGTTAATCACTTAGAAATAGTAATGTCAGACTTCTAGCACATCTGAACTGGAAAAAGATGTGAGGATAAAATCAAGATTTTTAAAAAATAGTGAAAATGTAACTGATAGTCATCGCATATTTTTATTTGTATCATTAAATTACCTTTAAATTTTTAGATGGAAGGATGATGCTGCCTTTTGAAAAACAGTTTAGCGATGGACATTTTTCCTTCCCCTTTTGTCCTTTATTAATGCTAATGTAGCATAGATGATGACCTGTGTGCAGTATCCACTCCTAAGCTGATAAAATAATTTTGACAGTTGTCTCCAAAATCCCAACTTTACACAAAGAAAAGGGTAAAAAATATTCACTATGTGAAATAGAGCTTGAAATATTGTATTGGATATTTTTAATGCATTCCAAAGTCTGTAGGTCAGTATTTATTGCAGTTTTCATTAATGCAAGAAAAGTTATAACTTAAGAAATGATTTTAAATGTTGAGACACACAGTTCAGCATTGAAGTCCAAAGCTTACTTTTGTGTCCATGTATGTACAGTTGCAGAGGCAAAGTAAATACTTCTAGTTGTAAATGAAGTGTTATGTGGCAAAGAAGGAATTTGTGTACAAGTAACTAATTTGTATGCCTAATTAGGATAATTTTACAGGAATTTTGGGCACGCAGATGTGCATGTATATTTCTATATACTAGTTTCCAGAAAAGTCATTTGGAGAAATGGAGACGAATCCGAAGCATTAGATATAGTTACATTTACCGACCTTGGTTAGGTTTTGGATTATTCCTAACTACAGAAATGTCGTTATGGTTGAGAGGCCGAGAAAGCCTGGAGCTCCAGCCCAAGTGGGGCTGGAGAGCAGATCCCAAGGACAAGGAAGGTCACCTGGAGAACTGGGCTGCCAGGAGTTCTTGGTGCAGCCAGTGTGGGGGTCTTCTCCAGGGCTTCCTTGCCTGCGGAAAGGCAAGGAAGGGGAGTTGCCTCCAGGCAGGAACGTGCAGAGCTGCAGCCAGGCTGGGAAGGGGCGGCCTCGGGCAAGGCCGCCACAGGAGGTTTGCTGTGAGGAGGGGTCAGCCTGGCCCTGGTCCTGCGCGTCAGGGGCTCTGCCGTGGCTGAGAGACCGAGGAAGCCCAGAGGTGCTGGGTGAGTGGGACTGATGGGGGCTCCCGAGGGAAAGGGAGAGCTGCCAAGGGAATGTGGCTGTGGGAAGAGCTTGGTTTGGGCAGTGTGGAACGTACGTGGCAACATAGGACACATCTTTTTGACTTAGATATAATTATATGACTTACAGAATTTGGATTTTCTGTTGCATGATATATGCATATGTTTATACATAATTGAAATATGTGTATGTATACAAAGAGAGGCTGTTCGGTCGGCAATGGCCATCAAAAATGAGTTGAATATGATGAATAAGAAAGAAGGTAATGCAAAAATGCACCTAAAGGACTAGCAGAATCTGAATTGTTTCCAAACGATTAAGGTGGAGCCATCTCCAGAGTTGCAGGCAATGGTTTTCTGCGTTCACATTTCATCATCTGAAATGCTGTAACTATCTGTATGAACACTACTAATACATAATTGACTGTGTAAAACACATCAAAATGTACTAAAGCCCTGGTCCTTCACCACTTAGTTCTTGGGTGAGACGGTGACAACTTCCTGCTTAGTAGGCATCAACTTCTTAAACCACTTTTCTTGAAACACTTGTGACCATTTGGCTGCAACTCATGGTTTGGTTATTAACAATACTAATTCTTGTAGTGTCCAAATATAATAATGTGGGAGATGTGTTTATTAAATGTTTCAGTTAAAATTGAAATAGGATTTTGAGATTAGAATGCCTGGTACAATTTTCAAGATACATATAAAGGCTGTCACAAAGATAATTTTTTCAAGTTTTTTTACATACCAAAGAGAAATAAATACTCTGTTATGTACCCAGACCACAGTGGCATTGTGTTCTGAAGTTGCCAAGGAGCAGTTCTCATAATTTTTCTCAGCAGTAGAGGTGAAAATATTGCTTGAATGCATGTAGAACTGCAACATATTTTGTCAGACTTGACAGTGAAATTAGTGTTCCAAGTCAAAACTCTTCAGCAGTCCTTTGAAGCCTGTTGTGCTGTTGAAGTCTCTCTTTGCAAAGTGTGGGTACAAAAGAAATCTTAGCACTCAGGTATCTTAAGTTATCTTAGATATAATTAAGCTGCTTTAATATAATTATTTAAATTGGATTTTTCATGGGTATTTTTGTATATCTTTATAGACTGTATGGTTTGAATAGATCGTATTCATGTAATAGTTGAAAATTATTTTATTTGACTCATTCCGAATGGTATTTTTTGGAGTTTGTGTATTTCTAGAGAAAATGTTAATATAGCAGTCCTCCTTACAACTATTTGTAATCCAAATGATTCTAATGCCAGCTCCAGAGATTCTATATCACTGCCTATTGCAGATAAAAGCAACTTTTCTATTTACCGTCTAACTTTTTATGCATAAAACAGTGTTTGTTTTTAAGAGACAATATTTGTTAGAACAGTCCCAGGCCGCCTTCTTTTTACCATATACCCCAAGTCCACTTCTATGTTGCTGGGAATTTGTGTTTTAGGGCAAGTTAGATCAACATTTTTAAGAGAGTAAGTCATAATTAAGGCTGATGACAAACTCTTTTCTCTGCAGTGGAGCAGATTGTTTCAGTTAAATATCTTATTTTTCCATTACTGTGAAATACCAGAACTTTCTTTCGTGCTGTTTTCCAAGATTGGCTTAGGAAGTGATGATACAGGAACTCTTAAAACATGTCATCTTCTCCAAGTCATATAGCAAATTCAAGACTTTATCTGGGAATATTCATATGCAAAGAAAGTGCCTGGACGATTGATGCAACTAATTGTAATGGTAATTCTGAAGTTGTCTTTATAGGATATCTAAGTATAAGCTATGATACATTTTTCATTCCTTCATTGCTAATATTTCCCAGCATTTGCCAATATTGAATTGGAAGCTACAGTTTCACTTCAGGGAGAAAACATCTTTTGCATTATTTTGTGTGTTATTTACCTGAATCATTTAATTTCAATGTCTAAAATCAAACAAAAGCAATACCTGTATGCTGTGCTTTGAAATCACACAAAAAAACCTTAAATTGTTTTTTATATATACATTTTTTTTTCCCTTTGGAAGGATCCAAGTGAATGACCAAATCGTAGAAGTAGATGGCATCAGTCTGGTTGGTGTTACACAGAATTTTGCAGCAACTGTTCTTAGAAACACCAAGGGGAAAGTCAGGTAAGTATATTAAAAGAAAAATATTTATGGCTGGAAACTCAAGATTCTTTAGATTCTTTCACAGTCTGCCTTAGGTAAGACCAGAGATTTTTGAACTCTTTGTACTTTCTGTGTTTTTATATCAGGACATGGATGAGCTTTGGTTTTACAGTTTTTTTGGTTTGCTTTAGATTTTTAAAATATGACTGTCAGTAAGAAGAAGCTGAAATTGCACACACAAAAAGATTCTTAATGAATATAAGCTGGTCAAAATCATTGACCAAAAATACTCATATGAGCTGATGTTACTAATCTTTAGCCATATGGCAGTTACTCCGTCCCCGATGGCCTGGAGCCCTCCACACATTTTTCCCGGTGAGAGTATCCGAGTTACCTGCAGCTGGGTTGGGGGAGTAGGCAGTGAGCTCCCAGGTGCCAGTTCTGCACGCAGAAGAAGAGAGTACAGGGTGCAGTAGTGTTGGGAGCTGCTAGTTTGATGAGAGTTAAGATTTGCTATTAATTCGCTGAGCTGTTTGATTCCCTTCACCATCTCTGACTGTTCCTCTGCTCCGGTTAATTGAAAGGCATCACTGCAGCTAGCTGTAAAATTCTGGACAGGCTAGAAAATGTGAAACATATTGCAAGTAAAATTCCCTGTGAATATAGACACAGGCTTGTAAAACGCTTGAAAATGAAGAACAGTACCTTTAATCTCAAAATGAACTCTTTTACCATGTAAAAAGGTATACATCAACATAGCTTTTCTGTGTAATAACCTGGCAATTTCAGTGAAGACTTAACACTCACAATATCTACAAAAATATGTTAGCATAATGCAGTGTAACAGCCTTTTGTTGGTCGCTCTTTGATTCTCTCTCAAAATCCTCTTTAGTGAAAACAATTTAGTCTTTTAGTTAATGAGAGTTTGGGGCTGTCTTCTTTTGACCATGATTAGGCTATTCAGTGCAGTATGTGGAAGGTCAGGTCCCTTCTGGCTCTGGTGCTGGGGTGGTGATGAGTGCGTTGCACAAGAATTTCTTAGCTCTTCTCACACAATGTTAAGGGATAATTTTGGAATATAGATTCTACAAAGATTCTTGGGTGTGATTGATCAAGGTTTTATCTGAAAGAGGTTATTTGGGAAAAAAGTGTTCGGAAATTGTAGAGCAATTACTGATAAAATAGTTTCGTGTGACATTTGTACAGTTTTCTTTTGTTAGACTCACACAGGGTATGAGTATTCCTTCTGCTCTGGCTATCGAGATAAGAACGTATTTAATTAAGCTTTTGAATATTTAGGACTTAAGAAGATAAAATTCTTGTGACAGAGGAAATACTTTCCTGTGTTTGGTACACAAAGCAAAATGTTATGTTTATCTTCTGTTTGATATCTTAGCTAAAAATAAAAGAGAAAAATGTTCTCATAAAACATAACATACACATTATATACATTTATAATCAGCTTAGTTCATGTAATGATTATTGAATAAATTATAGGATAGATTCTGTATTGCTGGAAAAATAATGGGTTTGGAAGAAAGAAGAAACCCAAGATGATGTTCACATAGGATGCTCCTAGAGTCTTGCTTTGGTGTTTAAATTATAGTCAGACTCGTCGCAGTCTAGACCCTTTTGTCATAAAATAGTATGCTGTAAAAAGTATTGCTTCACTGTTGTTCAGCTCACATTGTCAAGTGTAGTCTATATCCTGGGTGCAAGGATCATTGGTTTCTGACAGATCTCATTTATCAGAGAGATGTATGACTTTTTTATGTTTTTGCTAGTAAGTAGGCTTAAGATTCAGGCTTTCACCTGAAAAATAATCAAATGCATTAGTATTGTAAATGGATAAGTAATTTAAATAATGTTTATGTTAATACAGTTATATGAGAATTTGTATGGACACTAGCATATAGTGTGTTTAACAGCGTTTGTTTAATGCATATTTAATTAGAGGGAAAAGGCAGTAGAATTTGGTGCAGCTTCCCCTTTTTGCTTGGTGTAAAATGGCATTAAAAAAAAAACTTTGGTTTTACACATGGCAGGTGAGATATGTGTGATTTTTATAGTGATTTGCAGTAAGTTGGGAGCGACATGTGAAGATATTGCTAAGAAATCTGTGTCATAGGCAGCCTGCATGGATGAGTCTGTTGTCTAATATTCTGCTGACACTGATGAATTGTGTTTGGTTTTGACTGCTCAAAATTAGAAGCACATCCAGAAAACTTTATTCTTTGAAGACATGATGTTGGGGCTCTACTGTAGAGCTAATGTTTGCTTGTTAGATAAGTAAGCTAGAGCTAAGATTGATGTATTAGGTTATAAAAGAAAATTGCACATTTGTGTATTGCTGTTTTTCTTTTACTGTACCGCATGAAGTCCCCGACCTCTACTTATTTGGTAGAGCGAGTGGCTGTTTCCTGGCAGCCCCTGTTCCCTGGTTACACCTGCTGTTGCGGAATGATCTCCCATCTTCCACCCCCTTTGACTGATAGCATTCACAGCACAAGAGGATCTCCAGGGACAGAATCACTCACTTATCCCCAGTCGCTAATTCCTGCCTACTGCAAGTGTAAAGAGCAATGAGGTTGACCTTTGAGTGCAGTCATTCCCTTGGCAGCTGCCATTAATGATCCACATCACTGTGGGAGGCAGGAGAAGCAGAAAAGGTTGCCGCTTGAGACGTCTGTGGAGGAGAAGAGACTGCTATATAAATACCTTCTGCCTCCCCCGCTGTGCGTATCCCATCTGATCTACAAATGTGTAGGTAATGTACAACTGTAATCCCAGACTGATTTAAGACAAGGCAACTTCATGAGTCCGTCTCAGGCAGGAGAAATCACATACCTATTTGCACGTGTACTGTAGAGTTCTGATAAAATTATTGTGTGCATTACAGTGTCAATTTAACAGGTTTTATACAATTGCTTTAATAAGCATAGTTAATTTTGTGATTATAATGTAAGCTCTGTATACCTTTCTTCTGCCTGGCATGCTGCACACATTGAGATTTGTGTGCATCCCACTGGCATTACTCCTTTGTAACCCTCAGCATTATTCATAGTTGTTTTTTCTCATATGTAGTCAAAACATGTGCAAGTTTTTATAGCCAAGGTTTATACATGATCAGTTGCAAGGAAAGGATGATCGTGAAAGGAGTGACACTAAAGCTACTGCTTAATTCTTTACAGTAAATGCAATATCTCTTTAGCAAGCTTGCATAAATACTGATGCTTAGTGGTTTATTTTTCTCCTTTGAGGCTTCTGAACGGTTTTGAATGATTCTGACAGTGAAAGTCATTGACCTAGAATAGATTTTCATTTTTTTTCTGGCAGAAACATTGCATCTGAACTGTCTGTAGCTGACATAGTAAAGAGAAAATGAGAGCATGACTTCTACCTTTTGAACTGTTCTAGTTCAGGGTGAGAGGCAAAAAAACCCTCAAACAGCAAATATAAGCCCATATTTTGTCTGTCATTGACTACTGAATTCAGAAGAGTTGTCATAACATAATGAAAGATCACTGATCCAACTAGTTTGGATTCTCTAGGAATAATGAATTATTTGCTTCTTTCACACTAACATATGATGTTTTGTAGGAAGATAATAGGCACTAAACAGATGTACTCTGATATCCCAGGAGACAAAGAAAGGAGAGAGAATTCTTCCATAATCCCAGCTGGCAATCAGCTTCTGTCACTAGGGATGAGAATTAGTATCCTTGTGACTTTAATCTGGCAAATACAACTATGAATGCTGTATCAATTTATGTAAATGTCAAATCTTCTTTATAATCTTGCTTAACTACTTAGCTTACCAATGCTTTACATTAGTGGATTTCCCAATTTGGGTTATATACGGGAGGAATTTTCCTTCCTGAAAAACATCTTGTTTTTCAGTTTTGCTCAGTGTTCCCTCTCTACTCTCAGATTAAAGGATCAGTCAGAGGGCAGCACCAGACTAATAGCTCTAATTGTAGCCTGCTTTCTCTGACCCCATTTAGGACCTAATCCTTCGACCTGAAGCCTATGCGTGGTTCCTGTTATCATATGAGATGGGGTAAAGAGGCCGATGGACAGTTGTGTTGTGGATCTTCTTCTGTGTTATTTTGGCTGGTATCTTGATGTTTCCTCATTAACTGTTGTGCTGGGTAGAAAACACAGAGTTCTCTGAAGTTGCTTGGGTGATCATGAGCGGATATGACCCCACTTTTTCCCCTTGTTCTTCATCATAATGAATGGGTGTTAAGGATCCTAATATCTTTATCAGAGAAAAGTCACTTGGAGAATTGCTGTCTCCAGGGGATTTTATGTTTTCCCAAACACACCCGCAAGATCAAAAATGTTGTTTTGCCCATATCTACCTAGTGTCCTTCCATCCTATTTTTGTCAGATTTTGAAACTTTCAGTGGGGTTGGAAAATGAAGGAACAGCTGTACTTGGGGAAAGGTGGGAGGTTTGGGTCTTTGCATGTCTACCTCACTGCATGCAAAAACTTGGGCCCATGGAGCTTTGGGAAGCAGAGTATCCCTAGAAAGTACTGAGTCCCAGGAATCATACTGGATTGATATCACAAAAGGGGCTTACATCTAAACATCCCAGTCTTCCATGTGCTGTTTGCATGGTTTTATCATTTCTCTCTGAAAGGTTCTATTGAGAAAGTTAACCAAACTCACTATTTTGCCATTGGACAGGCAGATTTTAAATCCTACCCTTAAATTTTCCATATCTTACTTTGTCTTTTGAATGTGACTAAGCATTCTGTCAGCTTTCTGAACTGTTGCTAGGCACTAATCAGATTTACTTGTGGTGCTTTCTTAGTGAGTTCTCGTTGTTTATTTTTCGTGAAACCACATAGAACCTGTGCAGATTTCTGTATTATTTCTCATGACTTGCACCACCTTGAAGTTAATTATATTGATTCTAATCTATTTAGACGTTTCTCTGTTTGATTAAACTCCGCCGCAAAATGTCCCTTCTTTAAATAATTAGCTAGAAAATTTTGCTGTGTTACTGTTTAA